AAACATAAATCTGATTAACGAATTGCTAAGTTGGAAATCAACGAAGAAAAATATTGTTAAGGTCAATTTGTGGAGAGAAAAATTGGTCGAAAGTTATTTCGACTGAACTTCCCCTGTCCATGAAGTGTAGCCCAACACATTCCGCTTCTTTGAAAAAGTATAAAAATTGTCTGCCAACCTCTATAAAGAATACTATCTAAGAAATCGAGAAATGAAAGAATTTTTAAAATCGCAAAATCGAAAAACCGAAAAATTCAAAAATCAAAAAATTGGAAAATCAAAAAATCGAAAAGTCAAAAAACCAACAAAATCGAGGAATCGAAATTCAAACAGTGAAACATCAAAAGATCGAGAAATCGAAAGTCGAGTAGCTGAAAAATAAAAAACTGAAAAATTTAAACTTAAAAAATCGATAATTCGAAAAATGGAAAGATCGAAAAAATTCAAATCCAAATTATCGAAAAATCAAAATTTTAAAAATCAAAAATTGAAAAGCCGAAAAATCGAAATCCGATAAGTGAAAAAATCTAAAGATCGAACAATCGAACAACAAAAGAACAAAAAATCCGAATTTAAAAAAATCGAGAAATGAAAATATTGAAAATTCGAAAAATTGAAAACCCACAAATTGAAAAATTCCCAAAATTGAAGTGTTGAAAATTAAGGAGTTAAAAACTTGAAAAATCGAGAAGAATCGGAAGGTCGAAAAGTTGAGAGAAAATTAAAGAAATTTCCAACCGGAAAAGTCGAAAAACCGATACATCGAGAAATCGAAATTGAAAAATTGAAACATCAAAATATCGAGAAATCGAGAACTCCAGATGATATCGAAAATCAGAAATTTGAGAAATTGAATAGCCCAAAATCGAAAAATTCAAAATTGAAAAATTTAAACTTAAAAAACCGATAACTCGAAAAATTGAAAGATCAAAACATGGAGTTCTCTATAAATCTAGAAATCGAGAAAAACTGAAAAATCGAAAAATTTTAAATCCGAAAAATCGAAAAATTGAAAAACCGAAAAATCGAAATCCGATAAGTGAAAAAATCTAACGATCGAGCAATCGAACATCGAAAGATCAAAAAATCCGAATTTAAAAATATCGAAAAATGAAAATTCAAAAAATAAAAAAACCCACAAATTGAAAAATTCCCAAGTGTTGAAAATTGAGGAATTAAAAACTTGAAAAATCGAGAAATCGAAAAGTCGAAAAATCGAAAAATTTTAAAAATCAAAAAACCGAGATGTTGGGAAATCGAAAATTGAAAAATCGAAAAGTTGAACTTCGTATTAAAAAATTTAAATCGGCAAATCGAAACATCAAAAAATCGTAAAATCGAGGAATGGAATAATCGAAAATTTAAAATTAAAAAAATCCAATAAACTAGGAATCGAGAAATCGAAAAATCTAAAAATTGAAAAATCGAACATCTGAAAAATGGGAAAATTCAGAAATTTAAAAATTCCCAAAATTGAAATGTTTGCAAATTGAGGAGTGAAAAACTTTAAAAATCGAAAAATCGAAAGATCTAACAGTTGAACAATTTTAAAAATCGAAAAATCAAGATGTCGAGAAAGCGAAAGTTGAAATATCAAGAAGTTGAAATTCATATTAGACAATTTTAAATTGAAAAACTAAAAAATTAAATAAACTAGAAATCGAGAAATCGAAAAATCTAAAAATTAAAGAATCGAAAAACTGAAAAATCGGGAAACTGAAAAGTCGACAAATCGAGAAATCAAAATTGAAACATTGAGAAATTGAGACATCAAAATATTGAGAAATTCGGAAGTCGAGAAATAGAAAATCACGAAGTTGCGAAATTGAATAGCCCAAAATTGAAAATTCGCTGAAAAGTCGAAAAATTTGAAAGTTGAAAAATCGAAAATTCAAAATTGTTAAAATCCAGAAATTGAAAAACCGAAAAATCGAAATCCAATAGGTGAAAAAATCTAAAAATCCAGCAATTGAAACATCAAAAACTCCAAAATTAAAATAATCGAAAAATGAAAACAGAAAATTTGAAAAATCCAGAAATTGAGAAATTGCCAAAATTGAAATGTTGAAAATTGAGAAATCGAACACTTGAGAAATCAAGTAACCGAAAAATCGAAAAATAGAAAAACGGAAAAATCAGGAAATTGAAAAATCAACAAAGGGAAATGTCAAAACAATTGGAAAATCCAAAAATTGGAAAATCGAGAAATCGAAACTGAAAATTTGAAACACTGAAAAACTGAAACATCAAAACATCGAGAAATGAGAAGTCGAAAAATCAAAAATCAGTAAGTTCAGAAATTGAATAGCCCAAAATCTTAAATAAACTTAAAAAAAACGATAAATTGAAAAACTGAAAGATCAAAACATAGATCTCGAAAAATTTTAAATCCAAAAAATCGAAAAATCAAAATTGTTAAAATCGAACAATTGAAACACCGAAAAATCGAAATCCGATAAGTGAAAAAATCTAAAGATTGGGCAATTTAATATCAAAACATCCAAAATTAAAAATCGAAAAATGAAAATATCAAAAAAATTTAATAATTCAAAAATTGAAAAATTTCAAAATTGAAATGGTGAAAATTGAGAAATCGACAATTGAGAAATCGAGAAATCAAAAAATCGAAATGCGACAATTTTAAAAATCAAAAAACCGGAATGTACGAAAACCGGAATGTACGAAAATCGAAAATTCAAAAAATCTAAAGTTGAAACAGATATTAAAAAAATTAAAATCTAGAAATCGAAACATCAAAAAATTGTAAAATCGAAAAATGGAGAAAACAAAAATTTTAAATTTATGAAATCGAAAAATGAAATAAACAACTAGAAAAGGATCGAAAAATCGTAAAACAGGAAATTCAAGAAACTGAAACAATGAGAAATCGAAACATCAACAGATCTAAAAATAGAGAAGTCGGGAAGTGAAAAAATCGAAAAATTAAAAAAGTGAAAAATTTAAAAATCCAAAAAATTTGAAAAATCGAAGGACTGAAAATTCGGAAATTAAAATATCGAAACACTGAAGAAACGAAATATTGAAAAATCGAGGAAAAAATCGAAAAATTAGAAAAATCAAATATCGAAAAATGTAAAATTTAAAAAATCGAAAAATCAATAAACTGAAAAATCGAAATATTGAAAACTACCAAAACTGCAAAATTCCGAAACTGCAAGAAATCGAATAATCGAAAAATCGAAGTCGAAAAACGTAAAAATCAGGAAATTTAAAAATGAACAAACGTAAATTGAGAAATCGAAAGAATGAAAAATTGAGAAACCGGAAATTCCAAAAATCGAAATGTGGAAAAATCGAAAAGTCGAAAAATCAAAAAATCGATTAATCCAGAAATTGAGAAATCGAAAAATCGAAAATTTAGAATCGTCAAAAATTGAAAATTTGAGGAATTGAAAATTTGAGAAATTGAAAAATAAAAAAAACGAGAAATTGGAAAATTGAGGAAATAAAGAATCGACTAATTGTAAAATCCCCAAGCTGAAATATCGAAAAATAAATAATCGAAAAATTAAACATCGAGAAATCGAAAAATAGAAAATTAGAAATTGAAAAATTGAAATTATTCGATGTTGTTTCTTTTTTAAAAAATCTCGACGTTTAGAATAAAAATTCAACACGGATTCATAAACCACAAGTTTAGGATTATGTTACTTTTTACAATTTAAATAACAGTTATTCGACAAAATTGTAAGATGACAATCTTTTGGAGAGACCATCAACGAATAAATTTTGTTATTTTTTTAGTTTGGCAATTTCAAAGTTAAATTGTAAAATGTTGTTATAAAATTTTAATTTTTTTTCCAAAAATCTGGATGTCTAGGGTAAAAACTCAAAACGGATTCATAAACCACAAGTGCAGGACTATTTAATTCCATAAAATTAATAACCATCTACACAACATTCCCAACATATGTACATGGAAAATTGGGGAGAATCGGTCCTGCAGTTCCAGAGATTATTTGTCTAATAAAAATATTTCAGCCTTTTTAGTACTCTAGGGATCATGAAACATAGAAAAAATATGAAAGTAGCCATTCATCAGATGCACCCCATTACAATACGTGTTTAGGTTACGCTCAGGAAGTAAAAAGTTGATTTTTTTTTTCCACATTTTAATGGATGATCAACAGATATCAGACAACAGACACGTGGAAACGGGATCTACTTTTTCATATTCTAGGAGTATAAACCACTCAGTAAACTTTACATTAGTCATTCATCAAATATACATTAGTATAGAAGATCGCAAACAGGTACTTAGTTAATATTTCACAGTGTTAATAAAAATTAATAATATAATTAATTGATAATTAAGTTAATTCATCGAAGTATGTAACTGCGCAGTTTTTGATAATTAATGGTAATTAACTGTCATCTTACTTCAAAAAATCAGTTTTAATTAATCTTGTAAAATTAAATCTCTCTACTGGGCACCACTTCAACTTACCGCTTAATTTTTTTCCTTGGAAACTAATTAAACTCTTTACGCATAATAATTTAATTCAACATGACGTTTAATTAAATCGTCGACACGTAAAAATAGTTCGTGAGAGAAGCAAAATTCAAAATTTTACGATTAATTTAAAATTATCCTAAACTTTAAAGACGAAAAGTAGGGGTCTCATCAGCACGAAGAAAATTACTTAATTACAAGAAAAAGCTCAAACTTCGGCAAGTTTACCGAAATTACGTTTAAACTTACGTTTCGTCGTTTTTGCTAAACAAAATCTCCGTCACTGTGGCCGTTAAAAGCAAAACAAGTGGGTCATATAGAGAATAAGCACCAGCTAAAACCGTTTATATTCTTGATAGCTGGTTAATATTTATGGATATATTATCACCTAAAATAGATTAGTATATATTTAAACTGGAAACAAGTTGTTTCTTTCGTACAAAAAACAGCAACTGATAAAATAAATGTCAACAGAAATAAAAAAATTAATCTGGCTCGTCTTCATCAAGCGCCAATCCGGCGAACTTTTACACTGATTGCAGCCAAAACTTTCACAAGCTGTGCTCTTTTAAGAGAGGTACATCCTTTTCAAGACCACTTCTAAACTAACTAACTGACCTTTTTGTCACAAGTGGCGATCCTCACCCTCTTACCTTTTCTTATCCAACCTCATTCTTATTCGTTACATCTGTTTGCAGGATTTCAGTTTTCCCTACTTTACTCAGAATTGAAGTCATTTTAAATAAGCTATTTTACGCACGAAAGTTGGTAATTAAATCTGTCTAACACACCCAAATGTTACGAATTTCAATTAAGCGGCACAAAGTTAATTGTTTAAAATCTCATCGGCTAAATTTAACAAAAAAAATAAGACTTTATTATTATTGCAAAATAAACCTAAATGACAGTGTCACTTCATCTTGCCACTTGAGTTCAATTTGGTAAGAAAGACAGTGACGAAACTATAAGCCACAAAGTAGAACAAATTGACTGCCAGACTCGAGCATTACGCACAGAAAAACCAAAACAAATAAATAAATATCACAGCCACAAAAAGTCAAGGTGATTTAGTTTATTGATGAGTCAAAATTATTAAAAATAAAATTCAAAACCATCAGGAGACAAGACAATCGCTTGAGGGAATAAAAACTAACACAAACTAGCCTAAACTGATTAAAATTTAATTTAAAAATGAAAACTGCATTCAATTTGCCCTATAAGCGAAAAATAACAGAGTTTTAATTAAATTCCGCTAAAACCACATCAGTGTTGAACATTTTCCAGTAATAAAAGTCCCGCCTCTACACAAACAATGTTACGAAGTTGTTAGGAGACATTTCGTAAATTCTTCGCGTTTTTACTTGAAGTGAGGCCAAGATAGAACTTCGCGAAGTTGACGCAATTAATCAAAATGAAAAAAATTAATGGTGCGTGCAACCAAATAATTTCGTTATTTCATTTAAAAATAGTTGCTACATTTCAATGAAAACAGTCAACACCCTTCGACGGTAGTCAGAGAAATTATACCTTGATCTTGATAATCCAAGAAGGTTGATCCGTTACCCAGCTGCCCTTCGCACTATCCTTACAATCAGCTTTAATTCCTCCTTTCCTCGAATTTCGCTTTGGAAAATTCGTCAGACCAAAGCGCAAGAAATAGAACAAGGCGACTCACAATGATACCTCGTGGGTGCTTTTGGTGTCCGCCGAAGGTCAGTCCAACAGGAAACCCCAATTGACCTACATTCTCACTCCCTCTCCTCAAGAAGCGAAAAAATCAACACCTGAAGACAACACATCGTCTCGTGCTGCTGGTTCAAGGCGACGACAATTTGCTTAAACGGTCGTCGCAAAAAAAAAATAGAACGGAAGTGTCAGAATCCATTTGCAAAAACGTTATTTATGATGAGAGCCGACAACAAGGATACCGGGTGTGATTTATGCCATAGGCGTGGAGGGGGCTCAAATATTACTAATAACGCCACCAACACGGATAAAACAAAAAGATTAAGCACTTTCCGACAGAAACACTCCGACGAGCTGACAATGTGCTCCGATAACAAATCAGAACACAGGTGAGTGGATGGTTTGAGTGGTGGAGTTTCTAACAACCCTTGTAGTGGTACTGATGATGACGGCGAAACGTCGCAGAAGGACACGCAGTACCAGCCGCTGCAGGGGAAAAAGCCGGCGAATCGAAGGAAGTACACCTGGAAGAGTGTGGCGGCGCAGGTGAGTCATTTTTTTTTTTTTGGAAAATTTGATTATTTTTTGATTTTTTAGAGTTTTGTGACGAGTGCGGTTATGCTGAGTTCCGCTAGTTGTGGAATGCCGGTTGGGTACTCTGCGATTCTTCTGCCCCAACTCAAGTATCCCAATGAGACCTTGCGGATTGACGACGAAATCGGTTCTTGGATAGGTGAGTCCGGCCCTATTATGTAATAAAACCAATCAATAAATCATTAGTTTTCATCAGGCCAGACGGGTTCACTGGTCTCTTAACTACCCTTAATGAACCCAAGAGTTTAGTAATGGGGAAGATGTGCATTGGCGCATTTGAAGCGGTTAAATTTGGCAGTGAAATTGTTTATAATAAATTTGTTGACTAATTGAATCGAAGTTCGTGGCACTCTGTTGGCCGATGTACGTCTTCAATGACATTTAAATTAGGGGAAAAATTAAGCGTGCGAATGCTCACTTAAGACGTTATAAAACTTGTCATTAAACTCTGCTTTTACCAGATTAATTACAAATAATTATATCGCGGTAGATCTTCGCCTGACGGAAATTCCGCCGATTTGGGATATGGGTGCCATTTTTACCCAAAAAATATTGTTTGAATTGATGAGGTAGGCACTTGCTGGAACACCTTAAAAGTTCATCTGCCTGATGAAGCTACCCGTACCGAAACACGTAGCAATATCCTACAAATAAAATATTTTGGAACATAAAATGTACTGCGATAAATAAAAGTTTTTGGTATTGTGGGGATAAAAACGTGTTTCTGAAACGAAACTAATAATTTCAAGTTTGAGTTATAAATACTTACAACACGTAAACTAAAACCTCCCCGATTTCTAAAGTAACTCGAACTTTATTTTCCAATATCTTTCATTTTCAATAACATGCACTAACAAAAGAAAATTTAATAAGAAAATATTTCCGAAGTAATTTTCTCCGCATCTGACATTAAAACGCTGCAGCTTGTATTATGTAAGTCAAACTTTAGCAAACTTTCTTTAACGTAACACGTCCTACAAACCCTGAATATTGTAACGATGTAGCGCAAAAAATGACACAAAGTAAACAAATTCAAAGATATACTCGGTTCCCTAAAAATACAAATGGCTGTTATTTTATCCGATTGTGGATAAACAAGCGAAAACCCGCATACCTATTTCTTTTATTTCCACCTATACCCCATTCCATTAGTAAAACAATCACGAGGACTTTCCGGTAGCCGCCTCACTACACCGTCCCGCAACGGATATTACCAATTTTTTGCAATACCGCCAACCCTCTTGACAAAAACCCCAATTTCGCCTTGCTTTCTTTTTCTCGTTTCATTACCAGACCGCTCGGCGTCGGTCATCAACCGATCAAGAGTATCCAACATTAGAAGCATCCAAAGCAATCACCCAATTTAACTCAATAGTAAGGTCATTCACTTCATCGTCACCTTCAAAATACAACTAGTTGTTTAGATTAGAAGAAAAATAGGTCAAGATCGTTTTGCTTTTACAAATTGATACTACCATATAGCGGCTTTAATTTGCGGCTGGGAGTGGGAACGGGCGATTTTTCTGGACTTTTTCCGGAGTTATCGCGACGGGTTAATTGTACCATTGACACGGAATCGACGGAAGGTGAGGATGCGGAATTAGGTCAAGATTGGTGCTTACACATTGTTTACTTGTTTGACTTCGGCTTGACGGCAAGGAGCGATCTCAATGCGTTTCCTTTGACGCGGGCTACCAGAAGTGACCCCAACGAGGACGTCGAACGGTATTTATGCACGGGATTTGCATAATTGTGAATGATTGGAGAACCGGAAGATGGTGTAGAGGTTACATAATTTACACATTTTTGGTAAAAAAAGGTGAAGGTCTATCTCAGAAACGACTCAGAAACAAAATAATTTGTTTTTAAGCCTCGTATGATTTTTATTATGCATATATTTAAACTATAAGCTTTAAAATATCTGTCATTACATTTTCAATAAGATTTTGGCGCTTGCTCGAGATAGGTAGCAAATCCATAATCCAGGTAGTATTGTTGGTTACCTACCTATCACACTGAAGAAGCTTTAAAAAATTAGGTTATGGTTGACATTCATGACAGGCGACTAATCAGAACGAAGCGGCAAAACGGCAAAATTCCAAAACCAACTTGTACGATAAGAAAAACAATGTAGTATTGCTTTCTTTGCATAGTAAAAATGTAAAATAAGTAAAAATTAAATTTCAATTTAAATTTACAAATTACATAGAATGCAATAATTTGTAAATGATCTTGGTACAGCGAATTTAAAGCTTTCTACGTTTTGCCGCTTTGTTGAAATAGAAAGCAAAATAGCCCACACACAATACACATAAAATTGAAAAAATTGGTAGAACAGTTCAACAGAACTTCCCTCGCCCCTGGAGTGCAGCCAAATAAATCCCACTTCTCTAAAAAATGATCTTTTTTTTGAAATTTTTGTTTTCTGATAACCTCTATAAAGTAAAAACCACTGGCGTAAATTTTCAATTTTTCAACTTTTCTCGAGTTTTCAATTTTTAATTTTTCCATTTGCAATTTTTCATTTTTCGTTTTCTTTTCTTCACTTTTAAATTTTCCAGTTTTCCAATTTTCCAACTTTTAGACGTTCTAATTTAAGTTTTCAATTTTTAATTTTCCAATTTTTAGATTTTTCAGTTTTTCGTTTCTTTAGTTTTTCGAGAAACACGAGAAAGTACAAGTTATTCTACGTGATTTACATTAGGAGCACAGTCCAAAATGATTGAGTAATATATTGACTTTATGTTTTTTATTATATATAATAATATCTCTTGTCCTTTGCGACAAAAAATTGTTGAAAGAAAACTATGTATATAAAGAAAAAAAACAAAGATTAAGCCCCACCCACCCGCCCCGATTTCAGTTGTGATGAGTTTTTCACTCCTAATCAGACGAGGGGCGGAGTTTAATTGTAACATATTATTTCTCTACAAAATTCTACCAGTTTGAAAACACATTTTTTGTGGTAATTTCTTATAGAAAAATAAGGATTTTGCAACTAAACTCCGCCCTTCAGCTCACGATGAATAAGGCATTTATCACAATTGAGATGGGGTGGGTGGGCGGGGTTTATATTTGGTCCATTTTTTCTTAATATGAGAAGTCTTTTTTTCCCAACAAGAAACTGACAATATGTTTAACTATCCTGTTTTTGAAATAAAACTCTACTTATACATGTATTAAAAAAAAAAACAAAAATTAAGCCCCACCCACCACCCACTCGCCCCTATCTCAATTCTGATGAGTTTTTTTTTCCATGTTTCTCTATAAAATTCTACCCTTTTAAAAACACATTTCATTGCTTGTAGAGAAATCAGGATTTTGCAATTAAACTTCGCCCTTCAGCTCACGATGAATAAAATATTCATCACAATTGAGAAGGGGTGGGTGGGGGGGGGCTTATTATATTTGAAAACATGTTAACTATCCTGTTGTTGAAAGAAAACTCTTTATATTAAAAGAAAAAAAAAAACAAAGATTAAACCCCACCCACCCGCCCCGATCTCAATTGTGATGAATTTTTCATTCGTTGTTAGGCCGAGGGGCGGAGCGTAATTGCAAAATACATATTTCTCTAAAAAAATTTACCATTTTCAACATGTTTTAAGTTTCTCGTTGTGAAAAGATAGAAAAAGGCAAATAAATCTGTCAAATTAAACAAAGCATAATGTTAATCAGGTGATTAAAAGTACGGTACAAACGGGCATTACATATCGAATAACTACAAAATCGGAAAAACGAAATCTTGTAAATTCGAAATACAGTATAACCTCTATAATCCGAACCCACGATTATCCGAACACCCAGTAATCCGAACAGAGGCTAGTTGAATCGAGATCTCTTTAATCCGAAAAAACTCTGCAATCCGAACTGAACTTGAAAACATGCATCTACTTGCAAAAATGACGCAAGATCCTTTTTCAGTACGTCTTGCAATTTTTTGAAATTTTTGAAAATTGTGATATTTCAATGCACTGAATTATGTAATTATCTAGTTCTGGAAAAAAAGTTGAAATTGTCGAAGAAATGAGGCTGGAAGTGACTTCTGCGCCCCGAAATCTACAAGAAAAGTATTTAGTTAAATTTCGAAAATCGTCGAAAATGGGTCGAAGTTTGCTAGTACTTGCAAAATAACCTACCCTCTAAGAAAATAAAAGGCGCGTGGGCCAGGCTAGTATTTGCCAAAATAAGACTCATTTTGGCAAATGATCTACTCTTCTAAGAAAAGGTAGTAGTACGGCCCACCCACCCTTTATTTTCTTAGAAGAGTGGGTCATCTGCCAAAATCAGTCTTATTTTAACAAGTACTAGCCCCGCCCACCCACCCTTGTTTTCTTAGAGGATATGTCATTTGCAAAAATCAGTCTCATACTTGCGAAGATAAGACTGATTTTGGCATATTTTCTTAGAATAGTAGGTCATTCGCCACAATGAGTCTTATTTTGGCAAATACTAGCCCGGCCTACCCGCCTTTTATTTTCCTAGAGGGTAGGTTGTTTGGCAAGTGCTAGCCCCACCCACCCGCCCTTTGTTTTCTTAGAGAGTAGATCATTTGCCAAATCAGTCTTATCGTAGTGAATACTACTAGATTTTTCAGTTTTTCGATTTTTCTACTTTCGAATTTTTCAATATCGCTTTTTAAATTTTCAATTTTTTGATCTGCCTTTCGATTTTTGATTTGTCTGGGCAACTGAAAAAACTTTCGATTTTTTAATTTTACAATTTTGGCAGTTTTCTGACTTCTCAATTATTTGATTTTTAAAAATATCGAGAAAATCGATGTTTATTTTTTTTTAATTTTCGATTTTCGATTTTTTCTCACCGAGTTTTTGGAAGGGAGTAAAAAGTAATTTTGATCAGCAATTTGTCATGTTTACCGTAACTTTAAAACATCTGAAAATTTTGTTTCTAATTTTTGGATTTTCCAAAATTTCGGTTCGAATAAACTTGTTCTTTTAGTTAAAAAATCGAAAAATGACAAATCGTGAAAAGGAAAAATTTTAACTTCAGAACTTGAAAAATTAAAAACCAAAAAATTCCAAAATTGTAAAGATAGAACTTGAAAAATCAAAAGATTGGAATTAAAAACTGCAAAATTGTCAAAACAAATTATCAAATGAAATATTCAAAAGTTGAAAA